TATTTGATTCTTCCTTTCTAGTTCTTTTTAGTTCAGGTTTTTTTTTATTCTAGGACTTGATGCCAGGGCTCACAAGCATGGCTGCGTATTCCGTATTCATCCTCCTTGAACTTTTGGTAGAATTCGGACATTGTCTTTATGTGCTGGCGACAAAAATGAAGCAGAATACGTGTTTATAACTTGTGCGCGAAAGGGGCGTTCCGGCTCTTTTTGGTGCTTTTGGGCTTTTTTGAGCGCTTTTAGGTTTTTGGGAGCCTTTGGGCTTTTTTGGGCGTTTTAGGCTTTTTTTTTTCGGCGAAGTATTACGGGTCCTTAAAAAGAAGAGTTTTTTTCTCAAGCGTCTATGTGCATTAGTAATGTAAGTTCTGAATGCATTGGATTGCAAAAAAATTTGCGTTCAACATTTTGTCCTCGATCTAAGCTGTGTAGGCGTAGGATTTCTTTTCGGCTCCTTATCTCTATCGGACTGTTTTTAGCATATCAATTTTAGGAAGCAAAAGCTATCCTGGCAGAGTCCCCCGACAAAGACATCAAAGTGGTTTGTATTGGCGACAAATCAAAAGCTTCCCTGCAACGCCTCTATGCGAACAAGTTCCTCCTTAGCGGAAAAGACATTGGTCGAACTCCGCCAACATTTGGTGATGCCTCCATCGCTGCCAAAGCTATACTCGAATCCGGATTCGACTTTGAGGAGGTAAGTCGTATCAACTCCCAATGTTTCGTTGCTTTCAGTTTTTTCATCCATTTGAGTTTTTCGTTTGTAATATTATCATTTGCCACAATAGGATAGTAGGCGCAAAAATAAAATTCTGTGAGTTGTTCCGAGCGCAATCGCGAGGTGTGATCTATGGCATTTTTGAGTAGTATTTTGTTTTCCTTCTGCTTACGGTATGCTGAAGAAATAAGTATAACTTATAGTTAGTAAATAATTTACATTTTGCGCCAAAATGGTGGAAAAATTTAATTTCGTTTTAAATATAATGTTTCTAAAAAGTGCACTTTTCATTATGGCATGTTCTTTGCTTTCAAATGGGTCTTACTCATTTGAGGTTTTTGAAGAAAGTTTCTTTCTACTTTAGGCGACTGTCATATTCAACAGATTCAAGACTGTCGTGTCCTACCAAACCACGAGAATGCCGGTTCTTCCATTGGAGGTATTACTTTTTTTCCGCAAGCCTGAAAATTTGGTTTATCCTTTTCATCTCATTCGATTGCAGGCCATCAAGTCAAAGGAAAATTTATACACTTACGATTCAGTCGATGATGAAGTTCTTCAGTCTTATAGCGAGTATTCATTAGCTCAATTGATTTATTATGCGATGAAGGAATCAGCAGCATCAGAACAAGCTTCACGAATGACAGCTATGGATGGCGCTTCCAAGAACGCTGGTCAGTGCTTACCTTTCCTTTTTTTT